TTGTAATTGGGATTTTAGTTTCATAAAAGATATCATTATTATTATTAGTAAAGTTTTTATAGTTTTTGTTTTTGGTTTTAGGCATTTTTTAGTGAAAACAATTACAAATTGTTATTGCTTGCATGTGATTTAAGCCTGATTGGTTGAAATGTTCTATGAATTTTCACTGTCATGGGAAAATACTGCAAATGAGCCAGAAGTTTGTTTGTCAGTCATGTTTCACAGTGCCTCTGATCTGAAGAAACATTTACTAAGCATATTTAGTAATTTTAGTGACTCATTGTCCATCACCAATGCCAGAGTACCAGATACACATGCGTGGCTTGTTGAATCATGCAAAATGTGTTCTACAATTAACATGATAAAAATGTAAAAAAATGCTTGGATGATTAAATTTGTATAGTTGTTGAATACACAAACTATCATTTTCTGCTTAGGTATTCATGAGAAACATTGTTTTTCATCTGATTAAAAGTAGAAATAAAATTATTTGTGAACATCTTATGAGAAGAATCTTTGTGTGTAATATTTGAAGGAAAGCTGCAGAGGACTTAATGTTTCATTGTCCTGATTATGTGTCATATGTGATACAAAAAATTCAAAGATCTAAATAACCTTTTAAATTGCCACTCAAATTTGGCTGTGTGAGATGACTGAGGGCTGAGCATAATTTAGAAGCTAGGGTGCTTGAAATGTGAATGCAAAAATTCATGCTTTGTGACCCATTTCCACAAAAATGTACTACACATTTTGGGGTGGTGGAGGCCACTATAAGAGTGATGGTCAAATTCTCCTAGTCGGTCAGACAATAGGACTCCAAGAGTTGACAGTGGGTGCTGTTGACTAGCCTCCTTGCCTCTTGTTTATTAGTCAAAATTAGGGATACCTAGTGCAGATATCCCTTATGTTGCTTTCTACAAATTTTGAACTCAAATAAACAAACAAATTTAAATACATGTATGGTTGAGAGACATCTGTAAGTAAAAAAAATGTCCTTTTAGTCTCTAGTCATAATATGTATTCGGACATCATCTAGGTACCTTCAATATCATTGAATGGTGTCTTCTTGTTATGTTGTGGCTTTGAAAGTAATTAATTATAACTGGATTGTACAAGCTGAGGGAGCAAGAAAAGAGTGATTATAACAATTTATATAAATATCAGTTGGCATCACCTTAGTGTCCAAGTAATAAAAGTCAAGTAACTCAGTACTAAAACTAAAGCGGATTTGAAATTTAACAGTGAATGTTTTTTTCTGAATTTGTAAAGCATTAGCATGATATTCGTTGTGTGAGATGATAAGACCACATTACTTCAATATGTTAGAACCTAAATGGTACTCCAGTATCCCCGTTTTAAATTTATTATCCAGACTTATGAAGATCCAGGAAGTGACTCATCTTCAAGCATTTCCAATCAATTAAATTTTCAGGCTTTTCAGAAAAGTTCATCAGAAGATGAAAGACAAGAATGCACAGGTATTGTTACTGAACTATTCTTGTGGGATATTTATTCTAGAACCTATCCATTAAGATGTTGCTTCTTCTTCAGTTTATCTGTCTATTTATCTATTTGTAAATACATTCATGTACCTGTTATTTAAACCATATATATATATATATATATATACACATACATACATACATACATATATACACACACACACACACACACACACACACGTATCTGTCTCCACCAATCCTCGTTTACTTGTCTGTTCATCCATGTTCTTATTAACCTGTTTCTTAGACAAGATATATACTTGTTCATCAAACTGGCCTTTATAAACCTGTGTTTTCATCTATACAGCGAACTATTCCTTTGCCTGTCCATCAGTTTATGACTTATTTTTATTTTCGTTTAAACTATAAACTTTAATTCTTCTTCATCAGTTAATATACTTGTCAGTCAATCTATGAACTATGAAATGCCATATTGTTTTAGTGGCTATGTATTCACTTTTTAATTAAGATAACTAAACAGATGTGTAAATGGTGTAATTATTTGAAATAAAAATTAGTTAATTGAATAAAAGTTTGATAATGGATAATTTGAATTTTCCTACTTTTCAGTAGCTTTCAAATAATTATATGAAATAAATCCAAAAGATTTAATCCCAAGTGAAAAAAACAAAGATAGATAAGTTTTTAGACTTCAGTTGTTATTATCTGTAATCAGACATTTTCAGGTTAGGGAGTTGTTTTTTAAACAGCTTAGAACTTAAGCAGAATGATGTGTTATTACTTAAACCTATTTATATATATGTATATATTATATATAATCTTTTGATTTCATTATATTTTTATTTATTATGATACTAAAGCACACAGACAAGGTTGATATCTTGCTTGAATGTATTAGAATATTCGATTTCATTCGTGTAGAATAAATAGTAGTATAGGACAAAAGTTAAAAGTATTTTAAATTTTTGATGTGTGTATTTCCTTCCAAGTATATTCCAAATATTTTATATTAGAATCCATTGTGTACTGGTCAAAATTTTATGATAATAGTGTTTAATTTTTTGATAAATGAACCTTACATTAATAATTTAAGAAATATTTTCTAATGTCATCCAGGGATGATAGTGTTTTTGTTGCTAAGAATATTCATTTTGAGTTACATAGAGAGTAAACATAAAACAAAATCAGGTGGGGTGAAGCCAAGGTATGCTGCTGACTAAAACCAGATATCCCAAATAGAAATGGCATTAATCACTTAAACTTAAGATGATTTATTCAATGCTCTAGTTTTTTTATACCTTTAAATCATCATACATTGTTTAGTTACTTTTTGTATTAGTTTCAGCTTGAATAGAAAGAACATTATCATTGTTCCATTGGCCATTCATTACTCAGTCTAAGAGAGAAATATAAAATAAAATTAATCTCAAATTAAATTAAGGAATTGGGCAGTGATGTTCTCCTTCTTGCACTGTCCCTGCTTGTGAGATAAAATGTGATACACTAGAACTATTCTGGACATTGCTTCCAATTGTAATTGCCATCAGGTCATATTGATATTGTCTGAGTATGTGCTGCAGATATAAATGACCCTTTCAAAAGGCCTACCTCGCATCATTATCTGAACACAACACCTTGATGGAATGTTATAGGGACATTTTCTTGTTACTGGTCTCTAAGAGAGTGTAATTAAGCATTGTTTATGTTTTGTAAACAAATCTCTAAGGCTATATGTGGTGGTAGGGAAAACAGCCAAGAGTTTGACAGAATCAGCTGAAGAGTATCAAGCTAGACAAGTTAAAAGAAAGTATGAGGAAGTTACTGTGGTAACAGGAGAAGAAGGAGAATCCAATGTTCTCCAGGTAAGATGAAATGTTTTATCCTGTGAGTGGTAGAAGCAACTGAATATTTTTGGTTTAATTTGCATAGACTCGTAGTGATACGTAACTCACTCGTGAGACAGTAATCCTACTCTCCACTTTTCGACTCATTTCTCTTAACAGTACAAGTTTTATCAGATTTTAAATGTAATGTAATGTTATGACATAAATCAGCATTGGTTAAAATGTAAAATGGAACTGTTGACTTTACAGTTTAGTGCATGGTTTGTTTATATACAAATGTTTGTTCTTTGTTTTAACACACAGCTGTGGTCTCTCTTTAATAAAAAAAATAGGAGTCGAGACATTTGGATCTTTAAAATAGTAAATTTAAGTCTTCATAAACTAGAAATGTTTACTGAGATAACATGTAAATAATACAGTAAAACTTTTTATATTCTGCAACTTTATTGCTATTGCAAATTTAGATCTTACAGCTAAAAATAATAATGATTGTTTCTGATACCTTCAAAAATATTCTTGAAAATATCACATAACTTGCTATTCATGTACATGTGAGTAAAATGCATACCAAACTGTAAGTTGGTCTGTATTACTAACTATATTATGTCAAGCCTAATTAAAACAACAGCAAACAGTTTTAATTGTTATATTCCATGTCGAACATAGCAGCAGGTTCAAAGTGAAAGGAACTTTTTAAAAGTAGGACTAATTCATCAAAGTACCTCAATGTTACTTGTTGAACTCACTAGGTTTAGAACTCCATATACTGCATCCCATTATTCATTGTGCAGAACATGAATAAACATTTGGAGTTTTACAGAACTTCTGTTATTTTTGTGTACTGTTGGTATGATATTTTAGGAGCATAATGGCTTATTTTAATGCAATCAACATTCTTGTTAAACTTACACTCAGCTGGCATTTGAATCTTACAATATTAATTTTATCTGCTAAATTATTATGAATTTCATTATGTTTCTTTAAAAAGACATTTGTTTTTAATAAAAACTTGGCAAGTATTTAATTCAGAAATTAGGGGAGAAGGTCAGCTTGCTTTCTCTAAATGCAAGGATATTTTATATCTATCATAAAGTAACTGTTATGCCTTCATCCCAGGATCAACAGATGCTTATTATTATGGTAAGTGGGATCTGTTTCTGTTTAATTTATGAAAGTTACTTTTGTAGTGGGAAACTATTAGCTTGCCTGTGTGTAAATTCACTAAAATACTCTGTGGTTTGTTTAAAGTAATGAACACTTAAAAAAACAGTGACCCTGACCAAATCATCATTTAGAATTTAATGCCTTTCTGTGTAGGTGGGCTGGAAAGTGGATGTTTATATGTTGTTGTTGTTTTGGAGCTTAATCCTACATTCTCCTGTTGTTCATTCTTTTCATTACAAGAAACAAACATTAGTATCAGAGTTTTGTACTTACAAATGAAATATGTTCTTATCACAGTTTTAACCTGGAGACTTAATACTGTCACTGGTAGAATTTAATTACTTAGCTTACTTCTAGTAAACTTCTTTCCAACTTGTGGTGTGCAGTGATTTTTTTTATGGTCAGTAAATTACAACTCTTTGTATTAGTATAAATAGTAAGTTGTTGTCAATTTTTTCAATGCAGTCCTGAAAAGCTACTAGACATTCACGTTACTAGCAACATGTTGTGAATGTCACCCCAACTAGATAATCATAGTAATAATAATAATGTATAATATACAGTGAAAATGTATGAAAAACTCCAACCTATGTAGATAATCACAATAATAACTTACTATATACTCCAATGTATCTAGATAATAACAGTAATAATAACGTACTGTATACTCCAACTCCAACCTATGTAGATAATCACAATAATGATAATAACATACTACATTCTCTAACTTAGCTTGACAACCAGACTAATAATAGTTTATGTTGTACTCCAACCTAAGTAAACTTTAACATTTAGAATTAGAGTATATAAGATAGTTTAATTTATTGCTTTGGTCACAGTTATGAAAATAATAATGTAGTATGGTAAATTAGAGTACATACAATAGTGATGTTGCTTTATTTGCTCAAGAAACTTCATCATTTAAATATATATAAATGTGTATTATTTTAGTATATCTGGTGAAATAAATTGCATTTACAAGGTATAGTCATAACTTTTTTTCAGATCAACTGCAAACTTTTTGCATTTGAAAAAAATAGTTCTTGGGTAGAGAAGGGCCGTGGTATGTTGCGACTGAATGATCGAGAGGTGGATGGGACATTGCAATCACGACTCGGTAAGATATCGGTCATTTATTGATGTTCAACTGTTTATCATTGCACCTGCAACATGTGGATTTATAGTAAAAGTTGTGAAACTTTGAAATTGTTATTAGGTTTCTAGTGGTTTTGTATTCAAGGGAAACACATGTAAACAAAGTGTGTTAACACTAAACAGAGTGAGTTTATTAATTAAGAAGATGCAACAAGCCAAACATATCTTATTTATAACCAGCTGTAGCATTCTAGTTACAAAACTCACATGAAGTTATAATTACTTTGTGTTAACTGTCAAAATACTCAGTGTATATAATTTACCCAAAAGATTTGATGGAATCTCTTACTTTCAATATGAATACATAAGAAACCCAAGCAGTGATTACTAGGGTTAATTTATATATTCAAGTTGCCCCCCCCCCTACAGTGGGTCGACAGTAAGTCTGATGACTTATAATGCTAAAAAAACCTTGGTTTGATGCCCTTGGTGGGTACAGCACAAATACTCCATTGTGTAACTTTGTGCTTAACAACAAAATAAACAAACATATTTAAGTGTTTTTATTTTGTTGACACATGCTATTAGGGATCTTATAACAACTAAACTTGTAAACCCACAATAAATTTTGTCTAGAAGTAGTTTTGAAAACATATTGGTATTGTATTTGTTTTTTGTGGTAATGTGAACAGTAATCAGCATAGATTTTTTCAATATTAATTGAATTACTCTGCTGGTAGTGATGCGAACCCAAGGTAGTCTACGACTAGTACTCAACACCAAAGTGTGGGCAGGAATGTCACTGGAACAAGCTAGCCATAAAACTATTCGTCTTAGTGCAGTGGAGACAGATGGAGTCAAGGTTTATCTCATAATGGTAATAGCATCACTTGGAACTCCCTTTTACATACTTTTGTATTTAGAAACATTTCTTTGTAAAGCTAAATACTTTTTTTATATCCGGTATCAATTTGGTAGTTATCACTACGAACAAAATACTTCTAAGTATTAGTGGGTAAAAACTGTCACTTTATGTAGCACTTTATTCTAGTTTTTTATATTTGGTTATGTAGTTAATTTTATGATGTATGTAATCTTACTTAGAATGTTTACATGAAAGATAATTATATTATTATATTCTTGGTAACACGAGCTAAGAAAGATTTCTCTGTGTGTTTGAACCAGATTTAAGATCACTACAACATTAGAAGTCTGTACATGTTATCTGGGGTTGGAGGGGGATTTAGTAGGTGAAAATAAAAAAAAACTGTCTGGGTAGAATTTATTTATTAATGATAAGGTCTACTGTAATTCATTTCAAGTTATGTACATTCTTAATGTATGCATTATCTGTATGATAGTAGCACCTGTGAATTTACACTTGTAGGATGACGCACAAGAACTGGTTCAATCCCTGCTCTTATACAAAACCAAAAATATTTTGGTTTACATATTATCATCATTACACACAAGTATTTTTTTGTGAAAGCCTAAAGGCAAAATGTCAAATTATGTAAAAATATTTTAAATTGTTTTGCAATTAATCAGTATTCAGTTGATCTATTCATACATCTTGTGCTATATAATTAAAGAAGGTAATGCATCATTAAATCACAATTATGTATTATTGTAAAAACAAGTATATTTTGCTACATGTTTTAGCCATATTTGTTTTTGCTATCATTAGGTAGAATGAAAATTGACGAAACAACAGGAGCTGGGCATGGCCAGGTTGTCCAGGGTGTTTGACTTGTATTCTGAGGGTTGTGGGGGTTGAATCTTGTTACTGAATATGCTTGCCTTTTCAGCTGTGGAGGCATTATAAAGTGACAGTTAATCCCATTATTCATTGGTAAAAGAGTATCCCAAGAGCTGGCAGTGGGTGGTGATGACTAGCTGTTTTACATCTAGTCTTTCACTGCTAAATTAGGGATGATAAGCTAGATAGCCCTCATGTAGCTTTGCATGAAATTCAAAACAACTGAGACAACAGAATATATACTATATTAACATAAACTTTAAAATACGTGGCAATATAAATTTAACATTCTATTTAAATGAAACAGCACCAGTACATAAACACGTGTGTTTGTAACACATACACCCAAATGAATACAATTAGAGGACTGAAATTCCAGGACCTTTGTCTTTATGTAAAGAAAAATCTGTTTAACTATTTCCAGTGACTTTCTTACATTCAGTTCAGTGTAATTACACAGAGAACAAACTAATTGATCTTGTTCTATAAAATTTGGCAGTTATACTTAATATAATGTTTTGCAACAGATGATAAAATAAAGTTTTTGTTTTCCACTACAAGTTTGTATTCATTCAATTGATATTTTGTTTTACAAATTAACTGGTCTATTTTGTCTTCACAATTTATTTTATAGATTCTGTTTTTGTCCAAAGTTGTTATCTTTTAATGAAGGAAGAGGATTACAAAGGTCTAAAAAAAAGAGGTCTATAAGCAATTTGCAGTCTATATATTTAGAAAAATGTTTTCCTATTTGGTTTGAAATCTCGGAGATTTAAATAGGCAAAGAACTTTATCTTCTTTTTTTATATAAATCATTGTCGTGAGATCAGACAATTCATCTTACGAGTTAATTTGTTAACAGCTTTATCAAGGATTATCGGGTCATATCATTCATCTTTAGCCACATTCTTAAGAATTTATTGAAGAGATCAGTATCCTAAAAAAAATACAAAAACTTAAGTTAATAGTATGAAATGCACGAACATTTTTAGAAAAAGTGTGACACAAATCTACTGCAGAAGGTTTCTGAAAAACTGATATTTGTAGGAAAAAATCAGTTCTTAGTTACCAAAACATCCAAAAAAAATCAGCTGGTTTATTTTTGTTTGTTTACAATTGTAAGTTTAATATCATCATGTGAATTGTTTAATCAGTGTAAAAGTTTGTTTAAATTGACGTCACCATGACTTCACACTACAAACATAACCACCACATATCTCAACCAAATTTTGGATTAAGTTACAATTGGGAAGAATAATGGTTGAAAAAAAATCCATGAAAATTTTCTAAAGTAATGGGAGAGGGGGGGATACAACATAACTTTGGGGTAAACCTCATAGGTAATTATTGAAGTTGAGAATAGAATTTATTTACTTGAAGAAGGGGGATACAATATAACTTTTTGTGAAGTTTACAATATTGCTAATTTCAAGTGGAGAAGTGTCATCCCTAATTGATCTGTCTTCAAAACAGCAAACAGCTTCATTCAAGGGGACTGAGGTAAACCTAAAGAGACCATAATGTTATTATGGGATTGTTTTAAAGACTGGATTTGATTAATAAAGTGTTTTGAATCTTTAATGGAGTAATTATGTTGTGAAGATAAGAAAGAAAATTTATTGTTTGTGAATTTAGCAAGGAGATGTGATGAGTTAATACCTTAATGATTCTTATTTATGATGAAAATGTCGTCTCATATATTATCAAGCTAACTGATGATTCTTAGAACAAATGTGATCAAAACATGTGACAAAATATCTTTGATTTTGCAGTAATAAATAATTGTGGTTAATCAGTATTTAATTCCCCTCTTGTAATGTGTGAAACAAAAACTGTTAGTGTAGAATGAGTAACAGTACATTTTTCAAACCAGGATCACTAATAGTAGGAACACCAGAAACTAGCTGTAAACATGTAAGTATACATTTCAAGACTGTATCAGAAATAGACACACCATAAATGTACTGCAAAAGTATTCTTAAATCATAATTATGTAATAGTAAAGCCATCATAAACAAGCTGTAAAAAACATATTTTTAATTGACTTAAAAATATTTTATGATTGTTATTTTGTCATGATATACATTTATTCAATGTAATTCACAAAGAAAATTAAAGAAATATTCCAACTTTCATTTTTGTCCAGTTCCAGCTTGTGTAAATATATTTATTGATTTTAAGCCATGAATATATATATTTTCATTTTCTATGAATATTCCAAAGCTCAGGGTTTCATTTACTACGAAACTATCATCCCTTGAAAATATAATGCTTCATGTGCAGTTTTTGCATGATTTCCTTTATTCCTTGTTCCCCAGTGGGCTACCAATAAGTTTATGGACTTACAATGCTAAATTAATCTAGGGTTCGATTCTGCATGGCGTACAGACTGCAGGCCCATTGAAGGCTTTATTACCATAACTCTCTAACACCATTTCATGACATCACAGCATTGATCTGAACAATTACTAATGAAGCTCGTCTTTGAAAATATCTTGATATAAATATATTATAAGATGTGTACGTCAATGTAGAGTAAATAAAGTGGGCTGACTAGTAATTTGTGTCCTCTTAATGTAGTGACTGCTTGGAACTTCTGAAGACACAATCTAATTTTAATCATAAATTTATATTATTTGAAAGGTAAGCACAATCTAATTTTAATCATAAATTTATATTATTTGAAAGGTAAGCTTAGTTAAATTTAGAGATTACAATATGTGACAGCAAAGTATTACAATGACTCAATTCTCTATTTATTGAGTGTTATTGTCAGTGTATTGTATTTAAAAAAAGCACATAAATATAAGAAGTTGATTTTGACTAAGAATATTGTTGGAAAAAATAATTATGATACATGATGCCATTTTGAAAGCTGTCTTTTTCAGGTTTGTGTAGGGTATCGACCAATCTTTGTCAGGTTTGTGTAGGGTATCGACCAGTCTTTGTCAGATATGTGTATGGTATTGACCAATCTTTGTCAGGTTTGTGTAGGGTATTGATCAGTCTTTGTCACGTTTATGACTCATAGCTGGATGTAGTGACTGGCAAAATAAAGTATCGAAAGAAGTATGTTATTGACTGTCACTTAAGTTGAAATTGACCGGACATATAAAATGGAACTTTCCCATTAATAATAAAAGAAATTACCTTTAATGCTTGTTTTTGTTTTTCATGATGATGAGTCACTATGTAATTTTGGGGATTTCTTGTCCTGAAAGATGATAACAATAATTAGTAAATTACATCATTTTTAAAGCAGAAATTAGATACAATTTAATGAGTTTGAACTAAGTTTCAGGAAATTTGTTAAGAATTTGCACTGTGAGAAAGAAAACAATTTGGGAATGTCATTGACATAGATAAGGTTGAACCAGTATCAGTGGTGTTAAAAACACCAAAAAAAACTGTAAAGTATATTTTTTTTAGATCAGGATAAGTAATAATAGGAACCCCACAAACAAACTGTGAATTATTTTTAAAACCAGATCAGAAATAATTGGAACATCATAAACAAGTTGTAAAGTATACTTTATATACCAGATCAGTAATAGTAGGAACATCAAAAGTTGTAAAAATGTACTTTTTAAATCAGAAATAGAACATCATAAATAAGCATGGTTGGTGTGAGTAAAAAACTGTGATTAATATTCTTATTAATTTCTTATAAATATTGATATTATTTTGGGTTATTTTGAGAATATAATATATAACTTGGTTTATTATGCTTAGATTGTAAAATTGTTTAGTCACTTAGTAATACCAGGCATAGAGAATGTTTGTTCTATTACCATGATTATAACAGTCTGCAAGGCTTAATACCTAAACTCAGGTAATGTGGGCTTTGAGGTTTTTTTTATTTTGTAATCCAAACTGCACATATTCTAATTTCAGATAATAAGGCTTATATTCCATTAAATGCTGCTTCGTGATTTTTTCTTTGGGAAATTTGAGGGCTTATAATGGTAAATGTCAGGCTTTGATACCTGCAATGACCAGAGAACGAGTAACACATTCTGTAACTTTGATACAACAAATGGACAAACCATTAAAAACAGCTTAGGCCTAAGACTTAAAAGATAAATTCAAGTCACTATAGACTTATTACTATAATTCAGAGTTCACTTTGTAGAACAGGCTTAGGAATGTTACTGTGTTAGGCCTTGTAGACTGTTAAGGAAGGTTATAATTATAAATGTTTGCTTTTAGTTATTAATCTCAGAATAATTGATTTTACATTAAGAATATATGAAAAATTCAAACTTGGTATATTGTAAAATATAACTTCAATTCAATGCTATCAAGGCCTAAACCTCTGAAATAAAAATTATCTTGAATAATAGGCTTAGCATTTAGCCTTCATTATATTACAGATTTTTTCAGAAATGTAAGTCCCAAAGAAAAGGAATATAACAACAACAAAAGAGGACATTAGAATACAGAAATATTTTACTTATTTATTTTATTTATCTCTATTTTGTCATTACTAAAGCTTGGAGTAGGTAATTCACGAAAGTACATGCAATTGAAACAGATAAGTATTTTAATTATTTATCTATCATAAAAGAACAAACATGGTAATTCATGACATTTTTCCCAAGATTATTTTGCATTTCATACTTCTTGGTTTCCAGATGTATTATTACTTTAAGTAAAGGCAAAACTAAAGTGACAATGTTAGGGATAGCAGTGTAGATAGATACTATTATATTTTGTTTTAGCTTTCCTGAAAGAAAGTAACTTTTTTAACAAATAAACCTACTAAAAAATTGATACATTTTAATATACTTAATCTATAACATAGTTCTTATTATTTATTATAATATTTTCAAACATTAAATGTACAACACAACATTTCAAGTAATATTTCATACATTTGATGTGAATGAAGCAGAAATTTTGGCTTGGTAAATTTCACTTATCATTTAAGAACTGAAAATGATAATCTCAACTTAAGTTGAGGTGATTATTGGAGGGAGGAGAGCTGGTGCTAAGGATGGTGCCAAACTCCAGTATATAAAACTTAAGTTGAGGTGATTATTGGAGGGAGGAGAGCCGGTGCTAAGGATGGTGCCAAACTCCAGTATATAAAACTTAAGTTGAGGTGATTATTGGAGGGAGGAGAGCTGGTGCTAAGGATGGTGCCAAACTCCAGTATATAATAGCAGTAGAAATAACAGTTCTTTCATTTATATTGGGTACTTTGTGTTAACATTAGTAAATAAAAAAATGATAATAAAACAAAGATTGTACACAATAGCAAATAATTGAATGAGAAGTAGAAGTAGTTAAATTGGGATCAGTTGCCACTACGTGGTAGGTGGTACTTAGTTATGTGCTGTGACTGGAATCCTTAAATGGAGGGAAGATAGCCTGTGCATTGGCCAGTGCTGAACTCCTCTATGGTGTAAACTAATCAATTAAACAAGTTGTAAAAGTATATTTTTTTAATTGGGATCAGTAATAAGAGAAACACCATGAACAAGGTGTAAAAGTATTAGTCTGTTAATCTTCACAAGAATTTTTCTGTTGTCCTGAAAATTCTGAATCTAGAGTTTTCTAGTGTTGAAATTTGCAGTGGACTGTTCTTTCCTTGTTTTGATATAATGGGAAAGTACTTCTTCCTCTCACTACATCTATCTCCTGTGTTGCAGGAATGCGTATTGGAAGTGCAGATCAGTCACGGAGCTCTTGTTTATTCCTTAATGTACAAAGTTTTTTGTTTTATCAGGATACCAAAAACTCTTGATTAGACATAATCTCATTGATAACTGAATGTAATAAGCATTTGTTAATGAGTTTCATTTCTTTTTTTGTAGGCAAATCCCAAAGATGCAGAGCAGCTTTTCAGTGCCCTGGAATGTCGAGTGGCTACTTTAAAATCACTTGATGATAATTGGAGTGTTAGCAATCTAGCTACACAAGCATCAGTGGGTTCTTACGATGATGATGACACCACCACATCTGACTGTGAATCTGAAGTAAAAAGGCCTCGACATATGGAAGGTACCCAATCAGGAGAAGCTGATAGCACTACAGGAGTGGCTCCACAGCTCCGCCTACAGCACACCCCACCTCCTGAAATTGGCATTGATTCTAGCAGCAATGCAAGCTTGTAGTGTACCACCTGTTATAAATATATGTACAAAATCTTACATTCAGTTACATTTACTCACTTCTGAGTTTCTAGTAAATATTATAGTTTTCTTACAAACCCAGATATGTGTTTTGTGTTTTTGTAGCATCTTTATTTCCCTGCCAAAAATAAATCAGAAAAAAATCAGCATGAACTGCAATCATATAGGCATTTTTGAGGTTATTCTGAAGTGAATTCAGTGTATTTTAAATAGACTTCAAAACATTAAATATTTTTGTGATTTGTTCTAATTTTAATATTTCCCAAAACATGGAAATGTTATAGAATACAAAACCTGGAATAATTTTGAAAGTACATGATTTTTTTCTTTGGTTTTTAACAATAACTTTCTGTCTTGTGTGTATGTAACCAAAACATATTGTGAATAAAAACTTGTAACCAATGGGCATATTTTGTTTATAGTGTAAAAATTTCTAAGTAAATAATAAATGTTTTCTACTCTTTATCTAAAATTACGATATCTCCTTTGAAGTTAAGATTTGCAGTATTAAACATCCTTTGCCTATTCCTTCAAAGATCGTACTAAGCTGTTTTTGTTTTAAAAGTTCACTTAAAGTCTGATCAGGATGTCAGTTTAGATTAATGTCTTAGAAAAAGAAATTGTTATACCTATTTCCCTAAGAGAATGATACTACAGTGTTGGTAAGAAAGTACGTATAGATAACATTATCTGAATGTTTTAGTCCCATTTTATGAGATCTGTTTATTAAGTGTCAAACCTTTCTTGTGTAATAGTTGATGCAATTTTCTATTCAGTTTTGACTCTCTTTCTAGGGTAGAATGTTTAGTTTAACTGTACTTTTCATTAAGTTTAAATTTCACTGAGTCTGCATCAGTGCTTGGAGACTTTTTAGTTTATTTTAATGGTCGTTTATAATGGTAACAGTTAATCTCTTTTTGAAAGAAATACAGCTTACAATAACTTGAGTTTAGAATAATTTACAAGGGTAAAATTAATTTTAAAAATTAATTAAAAAAGCACAAACAATTCCCTAATAAAAGGATTGCATCCTCATAAATGTAAAAGTTCTTACACTTCTTTGATTTTTTTGGTTTATGAACATTTTGGTATGTTTATTTTTGGCCCCTGCAGTTTTTTTTATAAATAATATTTGATAGCATTTTGGCAAAAATCTGAGTGGACTTTTTGGTATTTTTTGCAGATAATAATAATAATAGCTTAGAGGTTTTGCTATGAGAATTTATGTAAAGTGTAATCTACTTTAAAACTTGTGAATGTTTCCGTGTACTCAGTTTTGTCTGTGCAGAAATATTTTGATGAGCATTAGAGTCTAAACGTTTCGTTTTTTAACAATACAATTTATTGTATTAATTTCTTGTCTACTCAGTTCTTATGGGAAGGTTTATTCTTGATTAAAGCAGCAATTCTCTGTTGTTAATATTGTATTTAATCACCTTTAATCATTCTTCAACATCTTCCAAGTTATCTTACATAGAGACAAACCATCAGACTTTCGAACTGTAATGTTTTCTATATTAATAAATAAATAAAAACTGAACTTCAGTCATATAATCTTTGCAAAGTTCCACACTGGTAGTTATCGTGGGTTATAAATATGAGAATCTGAAACCCACCAGATTGCACATGTAGTTGTGAGAAGTTTATTCTTGAGTTAAATTTCTCTTTATCCCAATTTTTTGTGTATGTTTTATAATGCCCCTTTTTTTCAGTAACCAAATGAAAGTGTATGAAACTTTTATTAACAAAATATTTATTATAATTGTACCAAATAATAATAAGGCTTGCGGTCACGTGCTTTATCAAATGATTTAATAATGTTTCAATTTAACTGCTTGTTTATCAAAGGGGCGTACTTCGTACACTTGCTGTTTTTATTCCCAGGGGCCATATAAGCATATTTTGACAAGGGCTTGTCGTACTGAATCCAGTGTCGTGATTTGTAGAGCCTTGAATAAAATATGTACAATAAATCCATTTCTAAACTTTTAATATTTCGTCAAATTTTCCGATTTTTCCCTTGTTCCTGTGAATACAAAATGCCTGGTTATAAAAGGGTTAAGTTACATTTATGAATATTTGGGAGTCATTATTGGTCATTTGTTTTCTATAATGACTTAAGTAGATCACGATCAATAGATTTTAGTTATGAACAAATTTATTAGGAGAGTAAAAAAAGCACATAAGAAATATAACAATTAAGTGGTGCAAAATATTCTAATATATTTCCATTGAACGTAATTTCCAAAATGTAAAGAATACAAGTGACGAAGAAAAGTGAATTTGGAAATATTTACTATTGATCTTGGATACATCGCGTTTTAGGATAACCGTTGTGTAATTAGGTAGTCTTACTAAATCACTCTTAGTTATTGGAGCTTTAATTGAAGACCATTGTAAAACTGTTTACGTTCTTCGTAGTCTTTAATTAAAAAAAAAGATTAATTACTGAAAAGGTAAAAGAGTCTTAATTAAATATGAAAATTTGTTTCAATCAAATGAGACACAAATAAGAAATAGTCACTTATGGCTTCCCGCTATTAATGGATTACAAATTGAATTACACCAGAAAGATTGAGTGCATCACACCCTCAAATATTGACCATCATTTGGCTATCAAGTGTTAAAGAAATCATGAAGTCTTACAGCGTGTCAGTTATATCTCATGTTTTAGACTCGTATAGATGGATAATTACGGATATGATGGTTAAAATATAATTCGTGACCTATTCTTAGCGGCTTGGTGTTACTATCTTTATATATATATATATGGGCCCAGTGTGCTCCACCCCCTCCTTAGTGACACGCTAATAACCAGGTTTCGATACCCGTGGTGGGCAGAGCACAAGTAATTCATTGAGAAGCGTTGTGTTTAACTACAAACAAAAATGATCGGGTGTTGCCAATTGATTAGTGTAGCCAAAATGTGAATCTATGGATTAATGGTCTGCGTACCGTTGGCGCGAAAACGTATCTCGCATTTTGGGATTATGGGTGTGCTTTTAGAGTGACAATCTAAAATCCCACTAATTGGTCAAATAAGAATAGGCGGTAGGGACGCGAACGTTCGAAAATAATTCATCTATGTTTATAAATAAAACTATTATGTTTCGTCTGATGAACGTTTCGATATGAATTTTTTGTGGCTTTTAGTTTTGATGGCGTTGGTGTGCTGTTAAGCGCAAAGCTACTCATTGGCCTATCTGTGCCCTTTCCACCATTTTTAATTTTGAACTCAGTTGAGTAAGTAACTTTATAAATCAGTACGTCAAGGAATTTTGCCAAACAATGCTTGAATAATTTATATTCCTTGTGGAATTTTAAATTTACAGAAATTATTTACATGGTTTATTTGAAATGTCATTGTTTATTGTTTTTACTTTAAAATTCTAAAAAATAGAATGCGTTTGTATGACCTTCAGAAAATTAACAGGTTGATTAGTCAGAAAAATATATTAAGAAAGAGAAATATAAAATGAAACACTTAACCTTTGAAATGCTTTATATCCAACTCATGTAACGTAGCTGGCGAAGAAGGTTTCTGTCGTTTTTGTAAACGATCTTGTATTCTTTAAATGAATTACTAAATCATTTATTACACAAGACATTTTGTGCGTGTGTGTAAACATCTGACGGAGAAGAAATACGTCGAATGTACAGAAAGTGATAATAAAATGAAAGATGTTTTATCGTTTGTTTCAGTATGAATTTTACATCACAAATTGGAGAAGAAAAGAAAAAAAAACAATCAGTTCAAGTAACCCTTATAGTAATTCTGTTACACATTTATATTTTTCAAAAATAATACTCATCACGATGAAACTTAGTCGAATGGACGGCAACTGGCTGTTGTAGAAACACAAGTGTAGAGGACGACGTTTCGAAAGTTTTTTTTTTTAATTTCGCGCAAAGCTACACTAGGGCTATCTGCGCTAGCTATCCCTAATTTAGCAGTGTAAGACTACAGGTAAGGCAGCTAGTCACCACTGCCAACTCGTGGGTTACTATTTTACCAACGAATAGTGGGATTGACCGTCACATTATAACGCCCCACGGCTGAAAGGGCCAGCATGTTTGATGGGACGGGATTCGAACCCACTGATTGCGAGTCGAGTTCCCTAACCACCTGGCCATGCCGGGCCCGTTTCTAAAGTCTTTCGTCTTCAGGTCTCTACATTTGTGTTTCCACAATAGGCAGTTGCCGTCCATTCAACTAAATTTCATCATGAATTCTCTGCCTAAACAATCCATCAAATAACACTCATCACTGATTACTTAGAATTCTGGTTCTCTAGGAATGACAATAATAAAACATGTATATTTGTAATTTCTAAATTTTTTTATTTCTTAAAATTTATGTTTATCATATTCGGTTGGTTAATATTTTAGATGTTTTAATTAAAACTATTAAATTTGCATATAAACTGATGGTTCAAACATTACATGAAGCATGACACCTATCGGTAAAACCTATAACTATACAAACAAAGAATAATTCAATATTATTGATCCAAAACCATCACAATAGTGGTTCAAATATTTAGAGAAAACTAATGATATGGAGCAGTACAAAATATCCAATTTAAATTAGAGCCCACTGTGACAATTAGCTTTTCAAAAATTATTTTGAATTTTTGTGTGAATGCAAAACAAAAGCAGTAAGTATCTTGAGAGTTGATAATTTCCTCAAGGAACCACTAGGAGTGTTGGGGAAGGAAAATGATAAATTGGTAAAAAAAAATATTATTTATTAAAACACAGACAGCAAATGATTCTTACATCATAACTTACTGAAGATATTTTTCTATGTGAATCATATGTATTAGGCATAAATGCCGCATGTGCATCTATTATAGTAAACGGAAACTCACTGTGGTATTATCTTATTGCTTTTAAATAAATAATGCTGTTTGTATTTACATAACTTACCCTATCAGATGTTTTTGTATTTAAGTTGTGTCATGATATAAAAGACTGTTTAGTTTAGATATTATTGATTAATATATTTTGTGAGTGAATATTTTATGGTTGTTTGGGTTTTTGTTATAATATGAGAGTTAAAAGCAGACAACTGTTGGAAATTGTGTTTATAATTCATTGATGTTGAGACTATCGATTGTCGCGTGCAATACATTGACGTCGAGAATATTGAGATTGCTGGAAGGCGGGCAGACGATTAAGTAATAAACATACAAATAGTTAAAGATGAGTAGAAACAGCAGACAGACAGCGCAAACGAGAGACTAGAGAACAGGAAGTAGAAGTACGTCCAAAGAAAAGGTTAGAAAACAAAAGTTGACCGTCGTAGGAGTGAATAGCCTAACGGTTGATATGTTAAAGTGAGATTAACAGTTTTCTTACACTTTAGGATAATAATTTGTCTTGTTAAAGGGTGTTCTGAAGCAATTGAACCTGTCTGTGTGGACTTTGACAAAAAACAAACGATTATTGGAAGTAGGCCTAAATACTAAAACGCAGACGAGTATCAGAAGCTCAGGATACAATGCAGTAACTCAACGAGGCAGAGTAAACGAATTAATTACACACAGAACACTAGAGCGACAGAAATAGAGAAAGGTAGTTCGGCTTGTCAACTGAAATTCTAAAACAATTGAATAGGCCTAAGTGAACTTTTGACAAGAAGAAGAGAACTACATATATAGTGTTTATGATATGCCTATGATATCTAAAGTGTAAAGAATTTGTTGTACATACGTTTAACTTGTTCAGAATATACATACATTATTTTGAAAACAAGTGGAGTTTCGTGTTGTTCATTTATCGCCAACAAAAAGTTCTTCAGTCACTTAGCCGTCCCTATTTTATCATTGAAAGGTACCTAGTCAACTCTTTTTACCTCCGAATAGTGGGACTGACCGTCACATAATAACGCCCCAACAGCTGAAAGGGCGAGCATGTTTGGTGGGACGAGGATTCTAACTAGCGCCATGCCAACCCAGTCATTGAAAACTTATTATAAAACGTTATTAGAAGATTCGGTATTGTATTTTCTATTTGAAAGGCAACCTTATGTGACAGAAGGGCTAAGTGACCAGGTCAGAGACCCTAATGTTCAGGTATAGCCGTCTGTACCTTAGAACTTAAGAGTAGCGCCCACTGCTTACACGACTACCTTCAGGCTTTTACTGCTGAACGTGCTCATTGGAATATGGTGAGGATCAGACTTTTGATCTTCTGATCCTCAGCCCAGCATGCCCAATAATTAACAAAAGGTAAAGGAACGTTTGATTTTAAGTTTTGATACAAGGTTTTATTTGTGGAATGTAACTGAAAAAATAGCAAATAACAAACTTCAAATATTACATTTTTCTTTCAGCAAATTTAACGCCAGAAATTGAAGAATATAATGGTTAGGAATATAAGTTATTTTTTTCCATTTTATAATGCCGTAAGTATAGCCTAGTGGTTAGCAAATCAGGGTTTTTGAGTCCTAAAATTCATGGTTCGCAATCCGTTGCTGCAAAAAAACACTCTGTACTTTGGGGTTGTGAATGTGCTATATATATAAGAGTAACAATTAAACTTGCAAAATATCAAGCTGTAATGATTTAATGTACAAACAAATGAATACCTTTAGGAAATATTGGGATTGCTCTTTGTGATACTATTGTTATATTTTCTTATTAAAAATTTTTGAACAGTTGTTGTTGTTTGTTATTCAGCACAAAGCTACACAAAGGTCTATCTGTGCTCTGCCCACCACAGGTACCGAAACCCGGTGTCTAGTGGTATCAGACGTTAATTATTTGTTTTGAAAATTTCAACAACTTCATTATGTTTATGTTTCGTAGTTAGGATAGTGTTTCAGATCCACAGGAAATAATGGTACACATGTACAAAGTATTATATGTAAACTACGTTTTTTTTGTTTTTTTTTCGTATATCAATAGAGAACAACACCGTACTGTAATTTAGTGGCGACGTAGCGCAACATAAAAAACATTTTCGAAGGGATGGGTTATGTGCTCTAA